ATTGGTAAGGGTTAGGGTAGGAATGTCAGGGTAAGCCAATCAGCAGTAGAGTTAGGCAGAGTAGGGCAGGCCTTGCCTTTACGGTCCTAGTAAAAGTAAATTCCCCACCTGGGTGGACCTGGGAAGTTTTGGCCCTTTTCTAGCGCACCTCCATGCACTTTCTGTTGTTTACTAACCTGTTTCTGTGATGTTGAATATGACAAACCATGGAGGAAAAACCCCCCAGAAAGGCCTACTTGTCTACCCTGGTTTACAGGCAATGGGGAAGGAGTCTATCACTTATTTTTAGTGGGTGTTCTCACTTTAAAAAACATGCATGCAGTGTATACACTAATTTGGGAGGAAAAAGGGTATTGCATTACCTATGCAAGTATTGTCTTCCAAAAGCTTCCTATCGCCACGGCAACTGCAGTTGACCCTTCCCTCAGAGGTCAGCAAACACAGGTCCTGACATCCTCCGTTGTTGACACGGCACATGGAGAACTCACCTGTAGAGAGGAGGCAAGTTAGAGGAAGTTAGCCAAACAAACCTGCACATATTAACACACACGCACACACACACACACACACACACACACACACCTGAGTGAGTTAGCTAAGAATTTTCATATCCACCCTCCTGACACTCAAGCAAACACCCCCCTTCTCACATGCTCATCCACATCAGCAAACAGATCCGCCTGCGTGAATGTGGCAATGGCTCTGCCTCCACTGAATGCATAATTCAATGTGACTCAATCTAAATGGGATTTGCAGCTATTACCACAGGCTCTCACCTTGTATGGACGCAGTGGGTATTGGAGCGCGAGAGAGTTTACTGAATGAGGCAACTTGAAGGAAGATGAGAAGATGGCTGACGATAGGGCGGAGAAAAAAACAGGGCTGCATTGATTTAGAAGTATACAGATAATGGGAGATGTAGAACTATATGAGTTGGAGAAGGAGGTGGAGAAGTATGGATTAAAGGGAGGAACAGCAATTCAGCAGGCACTTATGTGTGTTTGTGTCTGTGGTGATATAAAGCTGATGTTGGGGTTGAGAATGTCAGGTGGGCCCGTTCCAAAAACGTCTGTAACTCATCTGCTCCAGTGACAATCTTAGATGACTTCTATCACCTAATTAACAGCTCTGTTGAGGCAGAAAAGCATCTTTGTGCGTGTGTTTGTTTGTGTTGAAGTATGACACATGCTTAAAAAAAGCCCTTATTAAGACTTGACAATTAAAGGGGACTTATTTTGGCATTCCTCATTTTCTGTCCTATTATAATGTTACAATAATGGATATTTATATTAAAGGTGGACAAAGTTTCAAATAATAAATTAAACAAATGTAGAAGTAATTCCTGTGAACAAAACCTGAGGCTTCAGACCATTCTGAATACTCTGTTTAAAGTGTTGACGTTACATAGCCTACACTGCTACATGTAGCTACATTCTAATGCCACAGAAAACATGTAATTTTGGTTGATGATGCTGTAAATTTAGCTCTGATTTAAGATCATACTGCTGCTGGAACATGTCCACTTGTGAAGATTTTGGTATAAAAGCTTTTATGGGTGATTTGTCACGGTAGAAGGTGTTGCTACTCTCCATCACTGTCATTCTCCAAGATACAGAGGACATGGAAACACTGATCAATCAGAGCAGCATGGGCTTTTTCTAAAAGAGGAAGAGGGAAAATATAGGTGTTCCAACACAGATAGTGTGATGAATATAAAGTGTTTTCTGAACACTGAAGCTTGTAAACATGTTCTAGTAAAAACCCAAATTACAAGTATGAACCTGAAGATGAGCACAGTGGGTCCTCTTTAGTTAGCTTGATTTATGATGTACTTTCTACCCTGGAACTATAATCTGTGCTGTAATTATATTTCATGTTATTACTTCAGATTCTATCAAGCAACTGGTTGCTCAACTTGTCATAAATGTAATTAGTTAGTTGGTTTAGGTGCATACTGTATTAGTGTAATATGAGATAACACAAATGATTCAACTTTACACTTCAAACAACCATTAACTTAGTAATTATTATAATGATGGACTTTTATTTTTGCAGCAATGTGATGAAGTATCTTGCTGGATTAGCCAAAAATAGGAATTCTTGTCTCTTTTATTCTGTATTTAACAGTTTCTCAATTGATATTTCCTGAAAGTTTACAAAATCACAATATACATTTATACAAAGTAATTCAATAATTATGTTTTATAATTCTATTACTTTATCCTATCAATGACATTAAGACTTTAAGATCCATTTCATACTCTGTTTGGAGTATAATCTCTCCTAATTTGGTACGTCTTATTTGATTTTGTTTTTTGTATATTGGGTATTGTTTAATTATCTTGTTGTTATCTTTGTTTATTGTTATTTTTTGTCTAATTGTGCTTGTATTGTATAAATTTCTTTGAAGACCCCCTTGAAACCAAGATGGTACATCTCAAGGAGTTTTTCCTATTAAAGCATTTACAACCATTTCCAAAGAATATTTTTGATCCATATCACCTTGTCCTATGCAGTATCATTACACACTTCACAAGTAATCAAACACACACACACACACGCACACACACACACACACACACACACACAGCTACATTTCTCACGCATTGTAAAAACTCACAGCTATTGGTGTCGTTGGCCACAGCGATGATGCCCATTGGCTGCTGAGGTATGTCAGCACGCAGCACCTTCATGTCCCCTCCTGTGTATTTGTCAGCCCGAAGCACGGCCCTCCTCACCCAGTCAGTCCAGAAGATGTAGTCACCGTACACAGCCAGGCCAAACGGGTGGGCTGGCTCATTCTTCAACACCACCTGCAGGGGGAAGCACAACCACAGTCATGACCTCATTCATTCAGGAAATTCCAGCCTTACATCAAGCTTGAAAAGATAAACACAGTGACGGCTTTTATTCCGCAAACCTGTAATACAATCAGACTGTGGCACAAGCAAATGTACACTGCCTGCAACTGCATGCCAGTGTGTATGTCACTTACATAGCGGCGAGTGCCGTCATATTCGCAGCGCTCTATCTTGTCTAGCGTGGCATCGGAAAAATAAAGCTTTTCAGCACGGTGGTCTATGGCCAGGCCGTTAGGGGTTCGGATGTCATTGCCAATGATCACAAGGACGTTGGAGCCAGACAGTGTGGAACGCATGATACTGGGAGACTGCTCGTTCCAGTTGGTCCAAAACATGAGGCTGCAGGGGAGAATAACAATCAGTAATGTGCGTGTGCAGACATTTTTTACCTAATTTGGGAATAGTTCTGAAGGCAAAGAGGTGCGATATAAATTATTGTATCTGTTCTGACCCCTGACACTCATCAAGGACAAAGGCTCTGGGGTGGTCATCTCCCGACATGCTGACCACGGTGTGCCTGTCAACAGCACCCCAGCGGTTTTGATCCACGGTGTGGCGGGTGATGGTTGAGGTAGTGTAACTGGTCCAATACAGCATATCCCAGCCCCTGTGGTACGCCAAGCCCTCCACCGAGCCGACGTCTGAAAAAGATCGAAGGAACAGAGAGAAGAGGGGGAGATTAATACAGAGAACAGTGGAAAAAGGAAAGGTAAAAAGAACCACAAAGAGGGAGAGTGCAGAGGAGAAAAGAGGTTAAGGAAAAGAAGCACGTCAATCCCAGTGCTATGTTAAAAGGCCAAATGTGGACTGTCTGGCAGCAGCTCAGTGCTGGCAGACTGCAGTGGGGCAGCACAGAGTCAGGGCTATGGACATGGCAGCTTGGTATTAATGACCAAGAACACAGTGTGATTCAAGGCTTTTATCCAGCAAATAGCTCACTAAAAAGGTCACAATAACAGTTGCCGCCTAGCGTATTACTTTCCATCGCACTACCTCATCAACAGTTGGGAAGTAAAAAAAGTCATTTTTTCTGCTCCACAGCCTTGAAATGAGTAAGAGATTATGAGCTCCTCGCCTGCACAGAGGCCAGAGGACAGGCAAGAGTCAGCCAAGATGGGGGAACACAAAGTTCTGCAGCGGCAGATAGAGAACAGCTGCTCCGCTCCGGTGAGAGACAATACATGCACACACACACTTGTGGGGGAGTAAATTTGAAAACACACATCAGATCAATCCAATGCCAAATAACTGGTAATAGTCGCCTTGTTGTTACTGTTACTGCAATGGAACAGCGAGGGTCTAATGATCACAGCAGCCTTTTCCAGAGCTGGCTATGATCTCACTCCATCAGCTCGGGCCGGAGGATCAGCAAGGTTCACCACCAGGTGGGACACTTAACACTACACCTCAACATCTCCAGTGCAACGCGGCAGACATGAATCAACATTTGTCTGGCTGAATGCTAGGAGACTGTGAATGAAGCAAAGCAACTGGAGGGCCGAGTGATGGCATGCAACACAAAAACAACTCCCCTTTGCTCCTCATGCTCATAAATCAATGCCCTAAAAAATCAATGAGGAGCAACAACACAAAATCCATTCGCCCCTATTTCCTCTTTCCTCAGTGCTGTTAATGAATTGTAAATCTCTCACCTGCAGTACTCTCCACTCAAATTCTTGCTTTTCAGTTGTGTTTATCTTCACACTGTTGACCTAGGCCTATCTGGGTTCCTGTACATTTGTGCTTGTTGTTTACAATGATTCAGATGAGCTGAATTTAAAGCTCTTGAGCTCAGCTGGTTATACTGACACCGATAGTGCTTTATTGCAGTTATCTGCATAAGGTGCGATAGCAGTTCAGCGTTTGCTATCAGGCCGGCAGTCAATAACGACCCTGATTTCTGAAGGCAAACACGATGTCACTCTGTCTCTGACTGTGTGTACACCATATCTGTATCTGTTATGTATATTTGTGTGCAGAAGCAATACTTCTACAAAATGTACAGATCCTTTTAGAAAATAACCAGAGACAATACACCATGGGAAAAACTGTGTTTGTCCCCATAAGGCCCTCCCACAGAGAGCAGGCAGGCCTATCTCTCGCGTGCTCTGTGATAATCAGTCCAGAGTTCACCTGCAGTATACTCTGCTTCATCTTCTCTTACTGTCGAGCTATTCGCCTCTCGTTTCCTCCTCTGCTAGAATTGTGTTCCTCAGGAGATCCGTTCCATGGAGGCAGGAGTGGGGCTGATTGTGGACTGCCGAACACGGACCTGATTGAGATGTCATGTGGAGTAGCTGCCTGCTCTGAGGTGACAGGAAATCACACAATCTACTGCATTTAGTTCTCAACACTTGGACGCTCTTAACAAGAGTCCAGAGGGAGGGATGGAGACTCCAGCAGCTGAGAAATCAGGAATGTCTTCAATGGAGGGCTCTCATTTTATTTCACTCACTTTACCAGCCCCAGCCAATCAGAGGAGGCCCTGATTGCGAGGACCGGAGTGGCTTGATTCATGTACAGCACATGTTTTAAAGGGAATGTGATTTTCACAATGTTAGAAGGGACCTGAATGTATGTAATCTGTGTGTATGTGCTTATTCATGTATTAACATCTGTCTTCCGTTATTGCACAATATTACCATCAACCTTTAGGGAGTGTCATTGGAAATCAGTGAGCTATTATTTATGAGTAAAGTGCTATTGACCCATGAGTAATCATTCCTACATGTATTATCAGTAGTTTTATGACCGGCTTGATCATATTTCACCCAACCAAAAGCCAGCAGTGTCAGTATAATTCGAAGACATGTCTATATCTGAAGTCAGGATACTGCTAAGGAACTCTACAGGTTTGGGGAATAGCAGTGACACTGGCCTCCGCAATGTGGAGCAGGTCTTGGTCCCAATATTAGATGTACTGATTCTGGTGCTGGGAGTTAGTGGGCAAACCATGGTGATGGTGATCCTGTGTGGACGGCGGAGGAGTGGGGCGGGACATATTGGACAGTCTTCTCAAAGCTCCCAAACAGGCACAGGAACTGATGTCCTCCTGCTGGCTCTGAGCGCTGCAGACCTGCTTTTTCTCTGTGTGCTTCCCTTCCACACTGTCGCCTCAGCCATGCAGCAATGGCCATTTGGGGAATTCATGTGTCGCCTTGTGAGCTTCTTTGGATCAGCTTGGTCCTCTGCCAGCGCCTTCACACTGGCCACACTGGCCATATCTCGCTATCTAACTGTGGTAAAACCTAACAGAGCCTTCAGCCTCCTCTCCCCTCGCCGGGTGTCTATAGCTGCTGCACTCCTCTGGGTCCCAGCCTGCTGTCTAGCTGCTCCCCAGCTCATTTTTCGCTTTGTGGGATCCCCACAAGCCACTGATGGCAATGCTTGCTTTGCTTTCCTGTCCCACCGAGACCAGCTGATCTATGGATTGCTTCACTTCTTCGTGGCCTTCTTATTTCCACTGGTCACCATTGCAGTGGCGTATGGCAGCATCTACATGTTCCTGTGGGGGAAGCAGCATGCTGGCAGGGTCCCCCAAGTAGAACGCTACCAGAGCAAAGTGACCCAGACGTCAGCCATGCTGGTGCTGGCTTTCACCCTGTGCTGGCTGCCATCCTATGGTCTGACGCTGGCCTTATTGGCGGATGATGTATCAGGGGCCACTGGCGCCTCACCACGTTATGGCACCTTCAGTGTGTTTTCACGTCTCATGGCGACCTCCTCTACAGTGATGAACCCCATTCTCTATGTACTTATGTCCCAAAAGTTCAGACAAGACCTGCTGAGGCTGTTCAAGATTGGAGGGCAAAGAGCCAGTGTTGCTGTGGATATGGCTGCTGCCTGACAGTATTACTATCAACAACCTGCTTGATATATGTGAACACCTAACAAACAAACACTGAGCAAACCCTGACTACTGGGAATTCCAGTAGAACAATTACAAGCTGAGTTGCTTTGCTGAAAGACTTGCATGGAAAAAAAGTGGACACAATCATCACCCTCATGAGGAAAGTATACTAAACAAGGCAAAACAACAGCACTCACAGCAGCAGGCAATGTTCAACATCTTTTCCTCTTTACAACATATACTGGTAGTCTGGATATTGTACAAGAGGATCAAACAGTAAGCCCTGGGAAGTGCCGCACCACGGGGACAGTGGGACAAACAATCCTGAATCATGCATTCCTTGTAAAACAGTTTAAAGTAAAGGCACTTTGGTAAAACATTAACGCTGCACCTGTGTTTTGTTGTGCTGAGATAAGGCAAATGAAAGTCTCTCTGTAAGGCTGTTTATGTTGGTATGCACTGTTCTCAAAGCACAGATAAAAAAAAAGTATTTCCTTTTGTTTCTAGTTTAGCTACAACTTCAGAATAAGAGCTTGCTGGTTGTGTTTAGATCAGTAGGTGTTTTGGAGAACTCCAGCTGTTTTTTCCTCCAGGAGATTTCTCACCGGGAGGTCTGATGCTTCTAGCTAAAGTTCTTTGTTATTCACCAAAAAGTGAAGTAACCAGAAAAGACTCCTGACTAATGACAAGCCTATTATCTACTGATGGAGGGGGAATACACTGTTGATAAACTAGGAAATAGGCACTGGACTGGAGATGTAAGGTGGGCGAGTACACTCTAACTCTCTACGTTTGTGTTTTTTAAAAAGAAAACACACGTGTTAGAACATGGCACTTGATTCTGACTGGTCAATCAACAAAATTCTGCTGTGTTTATTTCTTGAGGTATCACCGCTGCTCTGCTGCTCCGTTGCTCGAGACGCCATAGCAACGGCCTTAGGCTGAGGAGCATCAAAATCAGTTAACGTTAGTCCACACAGCTCTCCCACGCTGGCCTGGAGAGCAGGGAGATCATGCTGGTCACTGGCCATAAATGTGAGGGCAGCCTTCACGGCTACTGGGCACCCAGCATCTCCGACCGGGAGAAGTGGAGTAAAATCCTCTCCTCCGCTCCCGTTTGTCTGGTGAACGCCTCTCCTCTGTCAATACACTCTGCCAGCAATTTAATAATATTGATGCCAGTTGTAACATTTGAATGTTTTAGTAGTAAGCCATGTTCTAAGCAGGATAATATATAGTGAGCCGGTGACTGTTGAAAAATAACCCCCAACAGGGGAATGGAACCCCGACGTGCACCGGCTCACTATACATTATCCCTTACATATTTACTGGGAATGACTTACAATACAGCCAACAGCAAGTGGGTTGTTATTAGTGATGATCATTTACCAGAAACTTAACGCTTCCTTGCGATCTCTCTCTTGCCAGCTCCCATCTTATTTAGGTTCTGTTGTGTAGATAATTCCTTAATTCAATGTCACAAATTAGCTGTTCCTCATTAATTGTGGAGCTTTCAAAGCAAGCATTAGCTTCTGACAAAAGTTCAGCTCCAAACAGCAGCACAAGCAGCCAATAAGGACATTCCAAAAAAAACCAAAACTATACAATCCAACTGATGCTTGCTCACATCACATTCGTTAGGACATGGTGTTAGAACAAATAAAACAGAAACAAATAAGTGATCTCTTTAAGTAATCTCTTTTTAAAGACAGTAACTGTGTTCATTATACCATTGATTTAAACTGTAAATGTAACAGAATACAGTTACTCATTTTTTGTATTTTAGATACGTAACTTAATTACTTGTATGCCATTACTTCCCAACCGTGGTAATCTTGGTTGCTGATGTTGTAAATTTCTCCCTGATTTTGGATTATACTCCTGCTGGAACATGCCTAGTTGTGTTTAGAAGCTTTTACTGGTGATTTTTTTATGGTAAAAAGTGCAATGACCAGTGCAGAGATGCTGAGACACAGAAGACTCAGAAAAGGCTAACCAATCAAAACAGTCTGGGCCTTTTTGGGGCGGGGGGGCTGAAAGAGACAGGCTATAAAATGGAGGATCTGAGACAGAGGGTGAATACAGGTGTTCCAGCATTGACAGTTTAAGAAAAATGAAGTGTTTTTGAACATTCAAGCATGTGAACATGTTCTAGTAAAAACCCAAAATACAAGTATGAACTTAAAAATGAGCATAATAGGTCCCTTTTAGATGTGGGAATACTCACTCTCTACCACAGTCCTGCGGTCAGACCCATCATCACTGATCTGCTGGATGTTGCCGAAGTGGATGTCGCTGAAGAAGATGCGGTTAGCTCCCTTTCCTCCACCTCCTCTGTAGTCAAAAGTGAGTGCAATGACATTCTTCATGTGTTCAGGGTCCTCGAATGGTTTGATGGGTGCATTTAGGTTGTTTTCATCTGACAGGTGGACGCTCTTTAGTATGGTGCGCTCTGAATAGAGTAGGTAGCCATCGTAGTCACGGCAGCTGCAGCCGTCTTCGGCCAGCATACCATGGGCGCAGGCACATGTCCGCTGTCCGTTGCCACGGAAAAGACAAAGCTGCTGGCAACCGCCATTTTTATCTTTGCATACGTTTGTTCCTGTATACAGACATGAAATCCATGACATGATCATCATGTACATTTGAATTTCAAGTTTGAACATGACATTGCACAAAAATGTTCTATGCAAATGCTCAATGCTCATTTTTGGCATGTAAAGCAGACATTTAAGTTTTGAAATAAACACCCCGGTGCTCACCTTGCTGCCTGGCCCTGTTGAAAACCTTGATGTCTTTGAGCTGTACCCCAATACCAGTCCTCAGAGACACGGAGTCTGTGGCGTTGTCCTTGCTGCCTCTCTTTATGGAGCCATTAGCATGTGTCCTGGGTCAAAAATTAAACAGAAATTAAACAAAAATTAAGCTTGCAGATAAAAAATTTAAAACATTAAGGGTGACGACAAATAGTATTCATAAATAAGTGACAAATGAGGGGGATTTATCTAACCTGTCACTCCAGTAGATGTAGCTTTCAAACACAGACACAGAGAACATGTCCATGTTGTTGTTGGCAAGCACAACTTCCCTGTTCTCTCCAGTTTCCAGGTTGATGCGCTCAATCTTGTCTGTCCTGGCATCGCACCAGTACAGCAGATTCTCCTACATGCATGCAGACAGAAATAGTTGAAATAATGTTATGATGCAGTGTCGGCTTTCTGCACTCTAACATAGTGATATAAATGTAAGGAAGGTCTGTTATACTGCACCTCATAGTCAATGGAGATACCGTTGGGCCAGCTGATACTGGCATTGACCAGGATAGCCCTCTGAGAGCCATCCAGACGAGACCGTTCAATACGAGGGTACTGGCCCCACTCCGTCCAGAACAGATACCTATATACACACACACATAAACACAGTAAAGCACAGAGATAACTTCCTCAGTGATCAATAATGGGAGAGATTACAGAAGCAGAAGCTAAAGACAGACAATAACTGGAGTGCTGTTTCCTCTCACCCTTTCTCAGGGTGGACAGTGATGGCACGAGGTTTGTCCAGGCCCTGAGAGATCACCACATAGCGGAAAGAGCCGTTCAGTCTGGCTACCTCAATCACATCAAAGCCTTGGTCCGTCCAGTAGATGTTTCCTGTTGAGGATGGAGGAGAAACAATGATTCTCTGACACTATTTGACATTATTATTATTCAGTTAGTACAATAGGTTCTCCTAATTACTTTAGATTCATCTCCCTTCCTACTGCATGGTAGTGCTGTGTATTGGCACATATTGCAATTTTTTTAAATCTAATTTTATGAAAACTGTCATAGTATAAAGAAGATATCATCATATGCAAAAGTAAGTGTGCTGTTTTTATGCAATCAGAACCGTGACATCTGCATTTATATTTATCACAGTCCTTGTCATACAGTAGCACTACTTTTTGTGCAGTCTCAGCAAAGAAAGTGGCATTTGCCTATTAATAAAAATTAAAATTAAAGTGCTTGCAGGATTCTTTAGGTAAACAAATTAAGTAAACTATTAAAAATCAATATAGTTTTTTTTAATTGATACAGTATCACAAAACGTAAAATTGATAACATTGTGTATCAGTATTTTCTTACACCCATATTGTGTGATAACAGACAAGCAAGGATGAAAGACAGACTGACAACAAAAGTGAATCAGTTTATCGTTATGTATTATTAAGGCTGTTTGATTTCCACAATTTTCATCATGTACACTATGTTTTTTTCATGACCGAGGAGTCTCTCACCTGCTATCCAGTCCACAGCGATGCCCTCCACTCTGCCAATGCCATTAGTGACCACGTCCTCTCTCCATGTCTGGTCTCTCTTGGCCCTGCTAATGGTGCTCAGGCCCATGTCGACCCAGTAGATTGTGTCATTGTCTGTGAAAACAAGTAAAACATGTCTGAGCTGGAACTTTCCTATACCCTTATAAAGTAATATGTACTAAACTCAGTGGTAAAATTAAGGTGTTTTTTTCAGCCAAGAGACAAAAAAACCCTTCATGCTGGGTAATTCTTCCTTATTTGTAGAAAAAAAACCCACATATGTTGTTAAAAAAAAAAAAAAAAAAAACTCGAGTCCTACCGGCATGGAAATCTATTCCCACAGCCAGGGATGTGCCTGACACCGGTACCAGGGCATCAGACTTGTCTGATGGATCCAAAGGAATACCACGTATGCCCTCATGCACAGAGTACAGCAGGAAAGAGCCAACACCTACAGCAAATATTTCATGTTTTGAGTTGCATCACACATTCATCATTTTCATCGATTCTTGAATCCAAATTTGGCTAAATCAAGAAAACACTGCGTGTATAAATGTCTCGTACCTTCACAAGACTGTTGCCCTGTGCGCAGGCTGTATCCTGCGGTGCACATGCAGGCCCTGGTGGTTGGGGAAGTGGGGAGACACAGCTGGGAACAGTCTCCGTTGTTATTACTGCAGAGATTGGTGCCTGGGAACGCAAAGGCACGAGAACAAATACACAAAACAAATCAAAGAGGGGTTACAGAGACATCAACAGATGTGCTTTGGCATAGATAAACAGGCAACATGCAAGAAGCAAAACAGACCTGCGATGAGACAAGGACATATTTTACTCCCTTTACTTTTTTGTATTTTTTGCCAAGTAATTTAACCAAACAAATGTTGCACAGTCTTAGAAAAAGTTGCTGTGTGGCCAAGAACCCTGCACCTTTCTGCACGGTTTCATTGTAGATTTTCATGTGCATCATGGGGGATGTGCTGTTCCTCAGGACTTTCCAGTTGCCGCCGTCCTTCTTGTCACAGGTTCCTATCTGGTCAGTTCCTTGGTCCGCCCACCACAACTTGTCTCCTGAAGGATGCA